GTCGTTTGCTCTTTTCCGGGGTTCGGATCACAGTGGATCAGCACTGCTTCCCGGTTTGCCATGGCGCTGCTTTCTTCTCCTTAAAAACAAAAAACATGGGTGCAGTGGAGGGAACGGCTCCTCTAACGCCAATTTCAACATATAAGCATGTCCTAACACAGGCTGGATTAGGCCCACGGCTTCCCTGTTTCATTCTTGGGAATAATTTATTTTTACTCGCCGCTGCCCTTGCTGAAGGTTTTTGCCCCTAAATTTATCTCTAGGGACACAGTATGTTATAGAATAAGATATATGCATGAATATTTGAAAACCAGTTGTTAGCAAGGATTTTTGGGGTGAGCCTCTGCCAGCTCTGCACCACATGGGCTGGATTTGGCCCCGAGAAGCCGCCCGGCACGTAGCCACTCATGCCAGCGGGTCCCTGCCCTTTATGCCTCAGGATTTCCGAGCACTCGCAGAGCCATAAATCTTCTATACACAAAAACTCAACCTGGCTTTTCGCAGGAATTCAGAATTTCCGTTTCCTTCATTTGCTTTTCGTTTAAGCACATTTATAAAGAAAAAAAGCCCAATTTTTCTAGGACATTGCTTGCTTGCAAGTGCACCTGAAAGGCTGCAAAATGGACGCGTGTCTCTCGAGGTGGGAATCTTCAGCGGGTCGGACTCCAGCTCTGGGAGATGCCAAGCAAAGCCATTGTGAAACAACCACCGCAACGCCAAAGGGGGTGCCTGGCCAACTTACCCATCTGCTTTTGAAGCTTCATTTTGGTCAGGGCAAGAATGGTGCCAGTGATGCAAATCAGTAAAATGAGAGCTGGTAACACAACTGGGAGCAGACGGGAGTCACCGGATGAGCTGGAAGATGAACCACCAGAATTCAATTGGATTTTGGTTCAGATATGGGGTGGCTGGAGAATCTTAACGCAAGCTGGGTTTTTTACATCAAAGAGTGTAAAGGAGTTATAAACTCTACCGAAACAAAGGAGAGCATTCAACAAAGCCAAGCAGAGATGAAATCATTTGATCTGGAGTTTGGCTTATGCGGAAGTAATTTTCACAGCCACCTCTGCTCTGCCCTGTGGCTTTGTGCTGCCAGCAGAACTAGCCCCTCCAAGAGAAAGCCAAGCTATTTCCATCATACAAATTCACAAGCAAGGGTCATAGTCTTTCTTTGCGAGTTGTTGTAGACTTACAAGCAGTTGGAGAGTGTCTCCAAGGTGTCTCCTTGCAAAAATTATATAAATGCTATCGGAGCTCCACAGGTAGACGGAGCTTTGCCGGGAATGGTGCAAAATCTGACTCTTCATACAAGAGCATGGTTTGTGATCCTGGCTGGATGGCAGGGCTTGAGGGAGGCTGGGGATGGAGAGGACGGTGCTGCTTGTGCTGGGGGTCACCCGGGCAGAATCAAGCTCCGAGGTGCATGGAGGGACAACTCAGGGTATTGAACTGGATTTGTGGACTTTGTGGTTTATTTTCAGTTATGACTGATACTGCAATAGCTGAGGCACCTGCACCAGCTCTGCCAATCCCTTTGCCTGGCGCTGGACGGCGGCCACAGCTGGGGTGAAAGGTGCGAGAGCTGCTTGCAGCCACCTCATGCAATAGGAAGCACCGGAGGTAAATTCACCGGGGAATACACTTGCGCTGGGGTAAGCCGCAGGCTTTCTGTAGAGAAGTCCCGTGGAATAATTACTGGCCAAAATAGCTCCCAGCCTTTTGATTGACCTTGTCCCAGGATAGCCCCTGATGCAACACGGAGCACCCAACCACCACCGCTGCCCATAGGGGCCTGGAGAATGCACACAGCATGTGGCAGCTCCTGATTCACCAGCGTGATTGCTCAAGCCTGGTGTTTCCTAATGTCCCATCTCCATGCTGAGCAAAGTAAAACACCCAGGAGTACAGCTATCGACTCCGGCATCTTATCTGCTGGAGTGGCCAGCACCAGGAGATTTAGAGACAAGCTCAAAGATACATGATGGAGAGGAGATAACCTTGCCTTCTGCTTCTTGAATTACTCATATGCCTCCTGTTGGGGTTTTCAATTTACAACCTGTGCAGGGCTCTGGGAAATGGGGCAGACGGGTCGTAAACCACCAAGTCAGTGCCGATGAGAAACATGGCTGTGAACTCACCTCTCGTGATAGATTTTGCTCGGGGAGGTTACGAATGTGCTGGGATGAGTGGTGGGCAGCAGGGTGATGGTGCTCTGGGTGACGGTGCCTGTCGTGTATGTCAGCCCCGTGGTGACAATCCCTGTTGTGTGTGTCAGCCCCGTGGTGACGGTCCCTGTTGCGTGTGTCAGCCCCGTGGTGACGGTCCCTGTTGTGTGTGTTGGTCCCATGGTGCCAGTCCCTGTTGTGTGTGTCAGCCCCGTGGTGCCAGTCCCTGTTGTGTGTGTCAGCCCCGTGGTGACGGTCCCTGTTGTGTGTGTTGGTCCCATGGTGCCAGTCCCTGTTGTGTGTGTCAGCCCCGTGGTGACGGTCCCTGTTGTGTGTGTTGGTCCCATGGTGCCAGTCCCTGTTGCGTGTGTCAGCCCCGTGGTGCCAGTCCCTGTTGTGTGACGGTGCCAGTCCCTGTCGTGTGTGTCAGCCCCGTGGTGACGGTCCCTGTTGTGTGTGTCAGCCCCGTGGTAATGGTCCCTGTTGTGTACATCAGCCCTGTGATGCTCCCCTGCATGGGCATGCTGTAGGCAGCTGGACTCAATGGAGTTGGTTTCACAAGAGTGGATGTTTCTGGGTCCTGTGAAGTGCAGGTTTCTACGGAGAAAATTATTTTGAGGTTTAGATATCCATCTCTTTGCAGAGGCAACATGTTAGATTTACCAAAGATTTATGCATTTCACCTTGCATCTCGGCATGAAAAAACATGCAGCACAGTATGACTGAAACCAAGCATTTCTGTTTTCCTTTAAGTCTTAGAGAGAGCAGCTTGGGAGTGCTAATGAAAACCCATTAATTCCTGGCAAACGTTTGTACTTTAACCCCACTATTTCTGTCTTTGCCAGCTGAACAGTTACATGGATCTGTGTATTACATGCTGCAGTTTCTGAAACTACAAAACAACTTTCAGCTTATCTTCAGAACAGAGCAGATGTCTCTGTGTTGCACTTCCTAGGATCAGGATGTCATATGCGAGGGGTTTGCATCATAAATAATCAATAACATAATTTAAACAAGCTAAATTCCTCTGAAAGCTCAGCTTGCATCCCTGCCTCTGAAAACCTTTACCATCACCTCAGCTACTTGCCAACAGCTGTAAGGCAAAAGGTATAGCTGATGTTTCTCATAATGCTGTTATATTTATGCAGAGTACGAAGGAGAGTTTATTCTCACCCCCGTGAAGGGGTAGAAGAAAGAGTGATTTAAAGCAAGAAAAAGGATTTATTGTGTTCCAAGCCATCCCACCACCTACCCTTCTGGATGCGCAGCTTCACAGAGGACGTGTGCTCCGCGTGCCCGTTTCTAGCCCCGTACCAGTACCATCCTGCGTCCTCTTCTCTCAGGTGGCTCATCACAACCGTGTAAGTCCCACGTTCCTGGTCGTTGCTGGTTATTTGTATTCGCCCTTCGTACGCCTCGTGTACAAACCCATCTGCATCCACAAGCAGCAAGCAGCTGCCTTCCCTCCACCTGCACAAATACTTCTTCTCGTAATTCTCCTTGGGATCATAGTGGCACTTCAAGGACAGCGAGCCTCCGACTGTGCCGCTGAGGAATTTCGGTCTCTTGGGAAGGGTGGAGGCTGCGGGCAGGAGAGGGCTGTGTTAGCATCTCATGTTCCCATCCAGGGCTGAGAGGAACCCATGCAGCACGTGCAACCCTCACTGCCCCATCCTACCTGTGGTCACCTGCAGAGCCACCACCCACGGACTGTCCTGACCGTTCAGCCTTCCCATTCCACACCTGTACAGCCCTGAATCTTCCTTTTTTAAGTCATTTATCAAGATTTTGAAAGCTCCAGAGCTCTCCTGAGGAATGATAACGATTCGTCCTTCGTAACTCCTTCCCACGTAGCCATTGGTGTCGGCTATGAGAATGCAGCCGGTTCGCCCCAGTTTGCACCAGAACCTCTTCTCGCCACCTTGGGTGTCCCCAGGTGGGCACAGGATGGTGATGGAGCCACGGAGCTGCCCCCAGACAAGCTCGGTTGGTCCCACTGCACGGGCATCTGTAGGGAGAGAGCACAGCAGGAACCATCCGGCACACAGCCAAGCAGGAGAGTTTCCTTTTACATACATAAACAGGTGATTTGGCCAAATCCAGGTACTTTTATACCCCATCATTGTAAATATCTGGTTAATAGCATGGGGTAGAAAACCTTGATGCTCCTGCTGTGCGCTGATGCTCCAGCATCCAGCCCCAAAGCCCTCCCCTTGAGCCAGGCTGGCGGCGGAGCAGAGCCTCCCCGCTCCCCTCCCGCATCCTACCTGCTGAAACCGTCAGGTTCAGGCTGACGTACAGGGCTCTGTTGGTGACGCCGATGCCGCAGCGGTAGGTCCCCGTGTCGTTCTTTTTCAGCCCTGTCAGGGTCACCGAGAAGGTGCCGTTCTGGGGGATGTCCTCCAGGGACACCCGTCCCGTGTGGTCCTTTGAGGTGTAGCCGGTTGTGGAGATGACGGTGTAGCAAACACCGCTTCCTGACTCTTTGCACCAATATTTTCGGTCGTGTTTGTTGGCTGGTGTGGTGGAGTAGAAGCACTGGTGGGTGACTGATCCTCCAACCTTCCCTGTCAAAAACCTGGAGCCGTACAAGGTACTTGAGACTGGCTCTTTTGGGGAAACAGAGAAGAAGAAGCTGTTGGTTATTTAGAGACAGCCAGGTCCTCGCCCAGCAAAACCCAGCCTAGCTCCTGATTATGAGCAGCACCCGTGGGACATCTGGCTCGGAAAGTTCAGTGTTTATTTTGGATGGGGTGAGTTACTTTCCTTGAGCACTACATTATCCACCGCCCTGTGCCACAGCACAAATGGGAAAACCTCGATGTCCCTTTTGCCCAAACCCCCATCAGCCCTGACAGTCCTGCTGGGAGTGAAATGCCAAGGGCAGCAGCTAACAGCAAACAGCTAAGGGTAACCTTTGCCATCTGCAAACTCTGCCTGAGCTGGCAACTTCCTTCCCCCGCAGCGGCATTGCACAGGCACACGTGGCTCCCCTGCCATGCCTTCGCTAGCTCTCTGCAGACTTCTAGCGGGCTGGGAGGTTCGACCAGTTTCCATTTTGCAGGTGGAGGTGTCTAGTGTGGACATAGCCAAGGATGTACCCATGTCCCCAAGCCCAGCTTTGCCTGTTCTTGTCACTCTATGTGGCTGCAGAATGGATTCTGGGCGACTCACCTTGCAGCAAAGCTGCTAAGAGGAAGAGAACCACCATGTCCAGCCTTCACCAACGTTCGACCAAACTTCAAAACTCTCCCTTTGGATGCAGGATTTTCCTGATGTCTGTGTTATCAAAAGAGAGAGAGATATTGTGGCTGGGATGTGCCAAGGTAAACCACCCACGCTGCTCCGATGGCCATCTGGAGCAGAGCGCCTGCGTCCCTCGGGGCTCCCAGCCCGCCGTGTGGCCTGGCCCAAAGAGAAGGGAGTTTTAAAAAGAAAAAAGAGTGCTCATGGGGGTAGTGCAGGTACCACAGGCATTGCTGGCAATGGCAGGTCACTGGCAGCCAATGCTGGGGGTCAGCGGGGCTGGTGAGGGACGTGCTGGGGTGCTGCGGCTGCACCGTCGGTGCTGCCATGGTCTGCTGGGCTGTTCTGCAACCTGCACGG